GACGCTGTTGACTATTTTGAATGAAACGCTTGATTGTTCGATGATCACGCTTCAGAAGCTTTGCGATTTTGAGACTGCTGCATCCCTCTGCAAGATATCTCACTATTTTTGACTTTTCTGAGCCTGTCAAGTCCTTCTTTTGACCCATTTTGCCAAAGGAAAGGACGTTGCCTAATAATTATGCACACCTGATATAAGGTGTTGATGTCATTAGTCCACACCCCTTCTCATTACAGAGATGCACATCACCTAATATGCTTAATTGGTAGTAGGCTTTCGAGCCTATACAGCTTGGAGTAAGACAACATGCATGAAGAGGATGATGTGGACAAAATACTAATTTGCCTAATAATTCTGCACTCCCTGTAGATTCTGAGCTGCAGGTTTCTCTCTCCAACCAAAATTCACTGAACCAGCAGCAAAAGAAGATCAAAACCACACTTCCCATTTGATAAATGTCGTCCTTAATTCCCTCTGACTTTTGCTGTTTTGCTTTTATCACCATCAGTGTGACAAAATCACACTTCATGCACAGCTCTCTCTGTGTACTTCAAGAACAGTTTCCCATCTCAAATCTCTGTTTTCTGCATTATTCATTCGGTTATTACCCACCAGTCTACCATTGTTTACAGCGCTCTCAGCCGCTGTCCTTTTTTTTTTTTTGACTTTTTTACTGATTTTTTACTGATCTTGGACAAGAAAGCCTAATTTCTGCTGTTCAATACTGAAGAAATTTGTACTTTTTAAAATTGCAGAATAATTTTAAAGTTATCTGCTATAAAATCCCAGGCAAGGAAAATCACCTTCATGTTTTTCTGTGTTTTATCCTCAGTTACTTTGACACAAAGGCATCTGCTGTGATGCTTACACTTTTGATAAAGTCTCGCGAGTGTCAGTTGTCTTTTTATAGATATAAAAATATGGAAATGTACTGATACATGATCAGAATTATAATATTTCTGGCTCAGGCAAAATCAAAATCAAAATCAAGAAGGTTGGCTACTGTTTGTCCGTGATTTGGACAGCGCAGCGTGTGTTCCTCACACAGGGGAAACAAATTCTGTCAGGGAGACCTACCTTGTACTTGTGCAGGTGAAGCCAAAGGGAAGACATGCTTTATCATATTTTCTAGTATTTGGATTGGAAGGAAGTTGGTTTGGGAACATATTTGGCAATGCTTCATCTCCTGCTTTGCGGTTGTGTGGGCGCCCCAATGTCCAAGCATTTTTTTGTTGTTATTGTTTTTCACATTCATACCGCACCCCCCTCCCCCCTGCAATGGCTCTGCACCCCCCTGTGGCGGAAAGTGGAGTAGTCGAGACACCCGGCTGTTCCTGTATCACTGGAAATCGCGGGAAATCATGTAGTCATGCAGCTGTTACTCTGTGGAAGGTATATCACCTATGTGGATATCAAAATGTTTAAATGACTGAAACAGAAACTCTGGAAGGCTGTGATTGAGGAGTCACGATGCTGCTATCTAGTTACCCACATAGCAAGGAAGTCCGGCCCAGATCTGGTATCAAGCTGGCACTGCTGGCTGACTTCTGGCATGATAAGATGTATGTCATCCAGATATGGGCCAGGCGTGGCATAGATGGCACTGTCTATGTGATGGCATGCCATATCGGGCTCGATTGTGATTTGGTTTATGTGGCCCAGGCCCATAGAAAACAGGTCTAGCCCTGATCTGGCATCAAGCTGGCACTTCTGACTGACTGGTGTAATGGCAGAGTGTATGTCAACCAGATGTGCGCCATGTCTGGCAATGATGGCATTATTTATGTTCCTATTTTCCTATTTGAGAAGACCCATATGCCATGTTGCAATACTATACTGTTATGGTAGCTAACGTTTCAAATGCATGTTTGACAGGTTTGTGAGTGTACACTTTATCCAAAACCTGTAGCTCAGGAGGTAAAGCATGTCACCTCCTGATTGGAAGGTTAGTGGTTCGATCCCTGGCTCCTCCAGTCTGCATGTCAAGAGTCTGAATGTGTAAGAATGTAGTTAGGAAGCACTCAGTTTAAAGAAGATGTGTGATTGACTGAATGTGGAATGTTGTATACAGCACTTTGAGTACTCTGGGAGACCAGAAAAGTGCTATATAAGAGTCACTCACTATCTGAACAGAGTTTCGTCATGTTACTTTCGCACTATTTTGCATGTTCTGGCACATGTTGTTAGTACATGGCTTGATTATTGTACACATTAGGCTGACATCTGGGTCCAGAGCTGAAACTATTCTGGGCCAGCGCAGGACCAGCAGTGTGTCTGCAACTGGTCTTGTGCTGACCCATGTGTGGACCACATCTGGCAAACCAGATCTGGGGCACCAAAGGGCCGTCATTCTTTTGGGTATGTGGACCATGTGTAAGCACACTGTGTGGGCTAGGTCCGGGCCATACCAACTTTGCTATGTGGGTAAGTGCTGCGTGGAGCTGTTGACTGTTTACATGTGGAAGCCACTCATTGTTTAAACTTTGTGTGGGCTGTATGCTGTACAATCACACAAAGATAAAATTAATATTCTTATAATATTTTAATAAAATATTATAAGAAAATGTGACACTGCGTAGTATATGCAGAATATAATAATTTGAAAAAAATTATCAAAAATTATCAAAAAGCAACTCACTATTGATATGAAATGGAAAATATGGGTGACCTTGCCAGTACTTTTATTTCAGTGGTTTAGATATGTTTCAGGTGTGTTGACCCAGGGTCATATCTAAAACATGCAGGACACCAGCCCTTTGTCCACCACTGATATAAACAGATACAGTAGTACTTTTGTTAGTGTAAATTTCCTCATGATGTTAAATCTTGAGTATTGACAGTGAGAAAATACTATTAATGTTTGTTGCAGGTGCAGAACGCTGTGATGAGTGGAAAGACGAGGCTTGCATGTACAGACGAGCAGCGCAGGTGGAATGCAGGGACAGAAAAGAGGCTTGAATCCAAACGTCTAAGACAGATAAACTAAGATAAACTAAGACAGACGTCACAGGGCAGAGCAACAGTGCAATGTGAACTCCCAGTGTGCACCATATCACCTTGCACACCAAGACTTTATTGATAGTTCAATAAAGTCTAGTGTTAGCAAAGCACCAATGAAACCTCGCCATCACTGCAACAGTAAAGTTAGCAATTGAGCTCATCCTCGAACAGGTAAAGCCGCTAATTACAGCACAAAGTAAACGATTTTTTTGTTAGCAACGAGTGAACGCTGGCTCTCACTTTGAGTAACCGGACTGCGGAAGTACTGGTCTGTCATGGCAGCCTACGTATGTTCTTACAGAAACCTGTGGGTCAATAGCAAAATGCCAACCAAAAACAAACATTATATGATAACTAGTGCTGTCAATAGATTAAAAAAAATTAACTAACTAATCTCACAATTTTCTGTTATTAATTGCGATTAATCTCAATTACTTTATTAATAGCCTGGCTCCAATTACATTTTTTTATTCTTTATATTTTAAGTAATTATCGTTGTTCACCGAAGTCCAGTGGTCTCCGGTGAGAGTGACATTCTTTACTTGCACAAGCTTGCTGGACTGCTGAGCCCTCTGGTCCCCATACAAAGTGTGCAGTCTCGACACAATAGTTCCTCTCAAGGGCAGATTGTAACACTCATCTCCTGATGCAGCACGAATGACTTCTCTCAGTCCATCATCTTCTACTATGCTAACTGGTCGGCAGTTTTTAGCTATCCAAACAACCAAGGAATTGGTTACCTTTTCTCTCACATTTTTTGTTATTCGTCCACAAGCACCATACTCCTGAAGCGTAGACTGGCGAGGTCCCGTAGAGGTGGATTCAGTTGGGTGTTTTGCTCTCAGGTGATACGCCAGTGATGAACTGCTTCTGTGGTACTTGAATTCAGCGTTGCAAATTGTGCATCTTACTCTCGTTTTGTCCAACAAGCCATCAGGCAACTTCTTAAAGAGAAACTTTCCACCCAAAAGTCCGCCCTCGTCCATGCTTGCGTGTGTTAGCTAGTGTTAGCTAGATAGTAGCATGGTGTCACTTCTTCTTCTTCTTCTTCTAATCATTTCTGTCAGGCCAAACGCCAGCATAGCACACTGTTGCCCCCTCCTCCAGAGGTGCTCATGAATTTAAAGGTCTTAGATTACAGGAAATTAATAAAAAAACAAAATCAGCGTTAAATTTTTTTAATGCATTAAACATTTCGCGTTGATCTTAACAATTAACGCGATAATTTTGACAGCACTAATGATAACATTTGACATTTGCTTGCTTAGGAAGCGGGGATAGTGACAGCGACAAGAGAGCGAGATTTGAGATGTGAGATTTGTGACATTAGCTTGTTTGGAGTGTGTAGTTGGTTTGTAGTGTAGTATTTTTTGTTTGTTTTTTGTATTATGTGTCAAAACAATAAGGTGGCTGTTGAATGACACAGATGCTGGCCAAATAGCCACGACAGGGACACTGAAATGTAAATGCTGTCTCTGCGTGGAAAACAGACAAAGTGATACAGCTCCTGTTGTCAAGTCTTTGGGTCTAAGGCCTGTCCCTCAGTCTCGTGGTGGAATGGTACAAATAATTTGTGTAGCACCTTATTATGACACCTGATAGTTCTAAAGGAAAAAGTTTTAAATAGTTGCACAAAAGACACCCCAGCCATTGCATGTATTTTTTAAGTTTGCACAATTCATATATATTTTTTTATAATTTATATTTGCATCTCAAGTTATAAAAATGATTCCTTAAATGTGTTTGTTTTCACAGTAAAAAAATAATAATTTTTGCCTACTTGGATTTTATGTTTTTCATGCAATAGAAAGTAAATGTTGTCAATACAATATGTCGAAATTGAAAAAAAAAGTAAAGACATGTAAGGTTGTGCTGAAAAGAAGTCTACCAAACAAGGTAAGGTAAACACCTTTTAAAGGTGAAATATAAATGTAGTCAAAAATTATATTCAAACATTTTAAATTATATTGTATTTTTTTTCCTTAGAAAATTGAGCTTACCTCCACAGGATGACGTTGGCCATTGATACTGTGTTCAGAGCCCTCCGATCCATTGCTTGTACCCCAATGAAACTCTACTTTTTCTGCCTTAAACCTCCCTGGTAGACCTGCTCCCCGAACAAAGTAATGATCTTTCAACATGATGGCGACTGGAAGAAATACAGAAGAGGAGAGAAAAAAAAACAGTGATTACCCACATAGCAGGCAGGTCTGGCCCGCATCTGGTGTCAAGCAGGCACTGCTGGCTGACTTCTGGCATGGTAAGTGGTATGTCATCCAGATATGGGCCAGGCCTGGCACTGATGGCACTATTTATTTTCCTATTTTCCTATTTTAGTTAGAAGACCCAAATGCCATGTTGCAATACTATACTGCTATGGTAGCCAACGTTTCAAATTCAAATTCAAATTCAAACCAGGTTTCACAGGTTTGGGAGTGTACACTTTATCCAAAACCTTGTAAGGGTTTACTCATGCTTCCCACTGGGTGGCTGTAGCTCAGGAGGTAGAACAGAACACCTACTGGTTGGAAGATTAGTGGTTTGAGCCCTGGCTCCTCCGGTCTGCATGTCAAGAATGTGAATGTGTATAAATGTAGTAAGAAAGCACTAAGTTTAGAGAAAGTGTGTGAATGTGGCATGTTGTATAGAGCACTTTGAGTAATCCAGGAGACTAGAAAAGTGCAATATAAGAATCAGTCCATTCACTGTCTGAACAGAGTTTCGTCATGTTACTTTTGCACTCCTATGTTCCGGCACATGTTGTTATTACATGGCTTGATTAAGGTACACATTAGGCTGACATCTGGGCCCAGAGTTGAAACTGTTCTGGGCCAGCACAGGACCACCAGTGTGTCTGCAAATGGCCTTGTGCTGGCCCATGTGTGGGCCACGTGTAAGCCAGATCCAGGCCATACCAAGGGTAGATGAAAAAAGTGAGCTTTGATTTATTACTTATCAGATTTTTCAGCAGACATGGAAATAATTTCTCTTTAAAAACAGATACAGAAACAAAAATGTGACATCTATCGATGACATGAAGACAATTTCAAAGGTTCCTTGAAACACCATCAGAATGTGGGCACGTGCACAGCATGAAACAGCTTTACATGCATAAATTAAAGAAACATATTCTAAGACATGCTAAATATAGGTCTGTTTCTCCTTCAGATTTTCTCTGAGGAATACATCCTCACTAAAGATCATTTCCGTCAGTTTCCATCAGCTTATAAAGCATATTCTCACATGTGGGGCTAATTTGCCAGGCAGAATTGTTTTTCAGTTGCTTACAGTGTCCCTTACAGGGTCCTTTGTCATTCTATTGCAATTTTCTGAGATATAGAGAGAATTGAAACACTATGCTCGCCTCTGTCAGTGCGCCCCAGGGCGGCTGTGGCTACACTGTAGCTTGCCATCACCAGTGTGTGAATGGGTGGATGATTGTGTATAGTTTAAAGCGCTTTGGGGTCCTTAGGACCAAGTAAAGCGCTATACAAATACAGACCACTTACCATTTATTTTCACATTCACAAGTGGTGTCAGGGTTAGTGCTGTGTGACAGGCAGGATGAGGCTAAACCCAAATGGGGCCAGCTCCTGATGGTTGCTGCCTTTTATTGGGAAAACAGTTCACACAATACACTAGTACCTCCCCTCGTAAACCCCCCCGGTTACAAAGACAAGGCACTGTATGTATATGTGTGTGTGTGTGTGTGTGTGTGTGTGTGTGTGTGTGTGTGTGTGTGTGTGTGTGTGTGTGTATGTGTATGCAGGTAAGAATGTGTGTGTGTGTTTGAGTGAGTGTGTGAGAATGTGTGTCTCTCTGTGTGCATGTGTCTCTGTGTGCATGACTTCCTGCTCACCAAAAGGATCACAAAAGCAGGAAGCAACATCACAAGAAACAGATCTTTCAGATAGGATGTTTCTGCATAAAACCTCCCCCAGCACAGAGAGGAATGTCTTGATCCTATAGACTGAACTCAGACCTTACAAATTTAAGAAGCATAATGACAAACATTCAACAAATAGACTTAACAGCGGGTTCTCGGGAGGGGCCATGCTGACACCTGCTGCTTTCTTGCAGAAAACACCATGCCCCTCCCGTGTTTTAAATGCACTTTAGAACAGCACACAGCAACACATATGAGTGGGCGGAGAGAGGTATGGGTTCTTCCCCCCCGTTTTCTGTTCGGGAGGAGGAGTTGGCCGTCTGGTCGGGGTCTGGGATGCTGGGCCTCCCTGCTGCTGTTCTGTGTGTCTCCACGGTGGGCAAGTGCTGAGTATTTGTATATGTGTGCATGAGGGTGGGAATGCATGTTTGTGTCTGTGTGTGCCTGTTTGTCTGTGTGTATGTGTCAGGCCGGGTCTTAGACTCCACCTCTCTGGGAACATCTGAGGCCCCCCTGGTGTAGGGATCTATCTCCCACCACCACACTCCCTGCCAGTGGCTGATGCCCTCAGCTGTCAGTGCATTGGTGGTTCTCGGTATCCAGGGCTGGGGGCTCAGATACATACTAGCTCACTCCCGGTGGCTGCTTGGTGGGGCCTGGGCCCTCATAACAGCCCACTAGTCATGAAAACCATCGACATGATAAGCAAAGTTGCACAGATCATATAAATGTTAATTATAACTGCATTTATCAACCTGCTGACATATTTAGAGTTTTTCACAAAAATGTGTTAAATGTACACCTGAACTCTGAACTGCCCTTCAAGCCCAGGTCTAGGTCCACTCTGACACAGCTGGCTGCCGGCAGATCCTGCAGGCACATCGTCACAGCCCCCTGTAGCTTCTGCAATGTGGCTGCTGCATGACCCCCTGTCTGGGACTATCCTAAGCTCTTTCTAGGTGGGTTGCATGATTGTCCTCCTTGGGCTCTCGTGCATTGGGGGGCCTCAAGATATTTGGGGCCTGGATCTCCTCCATGCCTGCTTGATGTCCTGGGGGGCAGGGCTATGGCTCCCCACACCCACTATCAGATAGTGGAGAAACCTTTTGAATACAAAGGAGCTTGCAAAGAAAAGCGTCTGGACTTCTTTAAGTTGCTTGAAGACGTTTCACCTCTCATCCGAGAAGCTTCTTCAGTTCTAAGGTCAAATGGTGGAGAGTCCCAGATATAAACCTAGTGGGAGTAACCCCCCACAGAGGGACAAAAGGACCCCCTGATGATCCTCTAATCGCCTGAGCCAAGGTGTGAAACTGGGTTTGGGTCCCAATCAGCCAGAGTTTCGGGTGTGTTCATTGTGAAACCTGGCCCCACCTTATCATGCGAATTCCTGAGGTCAGATGGCCCAGGATGTGAGTGGGCGTTAAGGCGTCTGGGAAGGGATCTCAAAACTGGATTATAGATGGCAGAGAGTTGGTGAGTCAAGCAACTTAAAGAGAGTCAGAGAGTCAAGCAACTTAAAGAAGTCCAGACGCTTTTCTTTGCAAGCTCCTTTGACTACGATGACCTGGATGACTGAGAACCTTCACAGACCTTTTGAATACAAGCGCGCTCATGCACACAGGTGTGCACAGACACATACTGTATCTTCCTTGGCTGCTGCGTCAAAGCACGTCATGCATTGTCGGTCTTGCGCGCTGCTCATTAACATTCAATATCTATTGGTCACTTACACTTATCTAGGTTCTTGCTGTGGTTTCTCTTGTGGTTGTTCTCTTTTTGCTTTTTTTTTCTTCCAGCAGGTGATCCAGCAGATTTTTTTTGTCTTTTCTCTCTGTCCCTCTTCCCCTCTATTTTTCTTCCCCTCTCCTTTTCTTGAACTTTTCTATTCTACATCTTTACCTTTCCTATCCCCCAGTCATGTCTGTTCCATTTGTAATATCTTAAAAGTTAAAAATAAATGAATTAAGTAATAATCATAAAGATCATTTAAGTGGACATGGCAAAGCCGTAATAATCCACTTGAAAAAATAAATCCACTGGGCATTTTTCTTGGCCTTCAGAAAATAATTCTGATTGCTACAGTGCCGAACAAACCACCTGAAAAAGCTGCAGGCCTCTCAGCTTGCCCAGCTAAAGTCAATGTTAATGTGAGAATTCATGCCCGTACAATGTCAGACAAGATACGCCAAGGTATAGAAATGATCTCCCCTCCTAAAGACAAAGATTGTTGTTGTAAAGGGAAGCATAAATCAAGAACAAAAAAAGAAACTTCAACAAAAGGACAAACAGAACATGTGTTATGTTTACCTGTTTTGCCAGTGTTCTTCATAGATGTCTTATTTGAAGATTCTATGTTAAAACCCTCCAGTGTCAGCTCCTGATATTCTCTGGATATTTTGGTATCCTTATCCACAATATTGATTGGTGACTGGTTTCTCTCTCCACATTGTGGGTAGGCAGATGCCCAGCCCTCATCTGGCCCATACATACCTGGGGAAAATAAGAAATACAACAGCATCTCATCACTTGAAAAAAAATGTGAATGCAAAACTGAGATATAGTCAAAAGTTTCAACACATCCCCTAATTTAATGTTTTTTCTCTATTTTCATGACGATGTATATTGTAGGTTCTTACTAAAGGTGTCAAAACCATGAATGAACACATATGGAATTATGTAGTAAACAAAAAAGTGTCAATAACTCAAAACGTGTTTTATATTTTAGATTCTTCAAAAATCCACCCTTTGCTTTAATTACTGCTCTTGGCATTCTCTCAATGAGCTCATGAGCTCCTGGTTTTTCAACAGTCTTGAAGGAGTTCCCAGAGATGCTGAACACTTGTTGACCCTTTTGCCTTCACTCTGTGGTCCATCTCATCCCAAACCATCTTGACTGAGTTTAGGTCAGGTGACTTTGGAGGCCAGGCCATCTGGCACAGCCTGGAGGTGTGTTTGGTGGTCATTGTCCTATTAATAATTAAATGATGGTCCAACTAAACCCAAACCGGATGGGATGGTATGTCGCTGCAGGATGCTGTAATAACCAGGTTGGTTCAGTGTGCCTTCAGTTTTGAATAATCCCCAACAGTCTCCCCGGCAAAGCCCCCCCACACCATCACACCTCCTCCTCCATGCTTCACAGTGGGAACCATGCATGTGGAGATCATTGTTCACCATTTCTGCACAAAGAAATGGTGGGAGGAGCCAAAGATCTCAGATTTGGACTTATCAGACCAAAGCCGAGATTTCCACTGGTCTAATGTCCACTCCTTGTGTTTCTTGGCCCAAACAAATCTCTTCTGCTTGTTGCTTTTCTTAGTTGTGGTTTCTTAGCAGCTGTTTGACCATAAAGGCCTGATTCACAGTCTCCTCTGAACAGTTGATGTAGAGATGTGTCTGCTACTTGAACTCTACGTGGCATTTATCTGGGTTCTGATCTGAGGTGCTGTTAATGTGTCTCAGCTGGTGTCTCAGATGAAGTTATCCTCAGCAGCAGAGGTGACTCTTGGTCTTCCTTTCCTGGGGCGGTCCTCATGTGAGACAGTTTTGACGTAGTGCTTGATGGTTTTTGCACTTTGGGGACAAGTTTTAGCAATTTTCCGGACTGACTGACCTTCAGTTCTTAAAGTAATGATGGACTGTTGTTTCTCTTTACTTAGCTGATTGGTTCTTGCCATAATATGAATTCTAACATTTGTCAAGTAGGGCTGTCAGCTGTGTACCAACCTGACTTCCGCACAACACAAATGATGGTCCCAACCCCATGAAGAAGAGAAATTCTAGAAATAAACCCTGACATGCACACCGGTGAAGTTAAACCATTTCACGTGACTACACCATGAAGCTCATTGAGGGAAAGCCGAGGGTTTGCAGCAGTGTCAACAAAACATAGGGTGGCTACTTTTTAGGATTCTAAAATTAGTTATTTATCAATTTATTGTTTGCCACATAATTCCACATATCTGGCTTCATACATTTGATGTCTTCAGTTTGTATCTACAATGTAGAAAGTTGTAAAAATGAAGAAAAACCATTAAAAAAAAAGGTGTATGCAAACTTATGACTGGTAGTGTATATCAGAGCAAAAGGGCATTTCAGACCTCTCTGAAACCAGCTGACAGGAAGCACTGCTAAATTATGTGAATCCCTATCAAACATTCCACAACTGGGCAATGCTCACTGTCAGCTACCCTGAGCACCAATCAGAGGAAGCTGCTGAAATACAAACCCTTTTTGTTCATGAGGATTTCGGAAGATTTCAAAATGTCATTATTTGAGGGCAGGTTATATTCACAAATTCTGTTTCGTGAAATAATACATATGATATTGACCTCTATATCTGGTTTTGCACTGCTGACTCCTTTTTTCAACTACAACATAACTACAAAGGCCAGGACTGAAATCTCACAGGGCCCAGCTTTAACATCTCAATGTTTACTTAAAGACTTGGGGTGCATTCCAATAGTTCACTTTGTTTAGGAGGGTTTCTAACTGAGAGACATCAGCCAGACATATCTGTGTGGGGGCAGTAATATGAGCTGTGAAAATTCTCCAAAGATTAAGGAAAGGAGCATCATTGCTTCCTTTAGCATAGGATACACTGGACCATCCTTTATGAAAGGATAGGAGAAAATGCCGTCCCATAATTCATTGCGACGTAACAGCCCACCAGTCATGAAAACCATCGACATGATAAGCAAAGTTGCACAGATCATATAAATGTTAATTATAACTGCATTGCAACCGCTGACATATTTAGAGTTTTTCACAAAAATGTGTTAAATGTACACCTGAACTCTGAACTGTGAATTAGTGGCTCAATAATCCAGAAGAGAGAGAATGGTGCAGGCCTACAAACTAAATAAACAATCCAGTGTAAGCTCAGGCAAAAATGGTGCAATAGAGATAAATATTTGTTAGAGGTTGCTCGCTGTGTGCGCACTGCTGAGAAAAAAAAGTGGCTTGAGAAAAAGAAGCTCATTTCAATTAATTCCTGTCAAAGTGAAAATCCCGGTGTTATTGAGGAACAAAAGGTGGGGCTCACTTCTAAACACTCAGCGTGAGAACTGAATGAAGAGGCACTGAGGCTTTGAGCCATCAATGCAAAGTGCCAATTATGTGATCGTTCTGATAACTTCTGATAACTCTTAGTAGCAACTATCACTACCACCACAAGGCATAAGACATATTTTTTCTCAGCATTAGATTTTGGACAGTCTGTGGTACTGTGGCAGTTTAGTGCAGACGGCGTAATTCACATTTGCGTGACTAATTTAATTCTTCTCCTGAAAGTAAAGGTTTTAAAAATACATATGCACAAGGCAAGCCACCAAATGACACTCCTTTACTTAGTACATTCAGTTTTTTAACATCAAATGAATGCTGTGTGCTGGTTAGTTAATGTTGCCCTAGATCTTCCTTCTACTTTAAAATTCCAACTTTTGCAATGAAATAATATTTTTCACTGCCTGTTCAGTGTGGCAAAGTAAAATGCACACTGTGTAGTCTCTGCACATTGTAGTTTTGAAGACAGTAGTTTTCCCACTAAGGAGAGAGTGTAAAGCTGTTCCATTTTCAGTGCATCGCTTGTCTGCACAATTGCCACACCCAGTTTTCCTTGACTTCAGTGAATTGCATGAGCTGAATAAAACATTATTAACATACAAGTATAGTATATTCATATTTGACTGAACATTCATATGTGATGGAATTATTGACAAATTAAGTATAACATAGAAAAGAAGAAAATGTCATTAAGTAATTTTAAAGTTTAAACCCTGTTTTAAGTCATGGATTTAAAAAAGTCAGTTAGAGAGGAGATAATAAGGTGTGGCTTGAATGATTGTATGTCAGCAACAATGAGTTCCCACTGCAGGTTCAGAGGCAAATGTGAACCTGCAAATTCTGTTTGCATTTTTTGTTTTTTTCTCTGCTCATTTCTGACGTGTTAGATTAAAGAATCAGAAGGGAAAAGTGCATCATCAGATCTGGTTGTGCTCATTCTTACCTCCAACCTGCTTTCTAGCAAAGATCAGAACAAGGTCAGCATTAGCTGTTAATTATACAAGTATAATTCAGGTGATTAGATTATTACTTTGTGATTATTATTATTTGATTCCACTTTTCCACTTTTGCCTACTAAGTTGCTTTAAGAAAATATCCTGCAAATAAATTCTAAATTGTGCCCATTCCCTTTTAACCCTTTGTGAAACAGTAAAGGGGAAAAACTGAGATACGCAGGGTGGACCTCCAGACACCAGAGGCTGTTAAAACCAGTCCCCTCACCCATCTATCCAAGCTCTGCTCTGCCTGCTGGGTTAGACTCATAGGATCCACACATCCTGCATTGGGGTGCTGGTTCCACAAATTTATATCCACCACAGTTTTTGGCTTCCACACACCATCACTACCTTCAAGTGAAGTCTGCGCCACATACTCCCATTTAGATAAAAGCTGTACAGTGAAGATCACTTCCTTTGATTTCTTAAGAGCATTTGACATAATCTAGTAGCTGCTACCGGAAATATATGTAATTATCTGCCATCTCATGGGTTACTGACTACCTGACATAAAGATCAAATTATGTGAGACTTTGTAGTGTCCACAAAGGACTACAGTCTCTTCTTTCCAGTTCACACAGTCTCTTTCCCTGTTCACAGTTTCAGTTCCAGTCATCTAGTTGTGGTAATCGCAGATATAGAAACATCTTTTACATAACATGCTACGATTATCTGTAACATAGATAATATGACATTGTACCGTATTTTACGCACTATAAGGTGCACCTAAAATCCTTAAATTTTCTCAAAAATCAAAAGTGTATGAATATGTATGCATTCCTGTTGTGCTTACTGACCTCGAACCGATTTTATGTGGTACACGCCACTCAAAAATCTGTCAATAAATGGTTAAGTACGACTTTGGTAAGCTACGAAGCCGCACCGATTGATGGATTGTTGGAGCATTACGGCTACCGTAGTCAGGAACCTCGTGGAGTGATCTGGGTCCAAACTCCACTTCAGCTCCCAAAGTCAGACAAACACTGCGGCATCACTGAGAGTTAAGAACTCTCTAAATTATTTCATCTTCAATAAAATGATGAGTGTTAGTGCTTTACCAGGTGTAACAATTAAGTTTAACATCCAGGCATCCACGAAAACAGAATTTATTAAATATAACAGAGTTAGAAGTTAGCAGAGAGTTAGCTTGCTAGTTTCCACCTAAGCATGATATAGCATGTTCTGACGGAGAGATTTATGAAAAAATTAAAACGTACAGCTCTGCTATCACTTCCAACATAAATGAAGACAGAAAACTAAACAGCAGTGACGTTTGTAGGGTTACTGAAGTTGGGCTAGCTAGCATATAATGATGTGCTATGTGATCGCTAGCGACACAGCTATGTTAGCATAAAATAACATAGCTGTTGGAGCTCAGTCTGGGGGGAGTTCGTTTTTTCTCCTCGTCTTTCCTCATGTTGTGCATTTTCC